CACTCTCCTAGGAAGGCTTTCCACTAGATTCTGGAGCGTGGCTGTGGGGATTTGCCCATTCAGCCACAGGAGCATTAGTGAGGTCAGGCACTGATATCAGGTGAGAAGGCCTGGGGCACAGTCAGCATTCCAATTAATCCCAAAGGTGTTCAGTGGGGTGGAGGCAAGGCCACTCGAGTTCCTCCACACCAACCTTGGCAAGCCATGTCTTCATGGAGCTCGGTTTGTGCACAGAGGGATTGTCATGCTGGAACAGGTTTGGGCCTCTTAGTTCCAGTGAAGGTAAAATTGTAATGCTACAGCATACAGAGACATTCTATGTAATTGTGTGCTTCCAACTTTGTGGCAACAATTTGGAGAAGACCCAGGCATGGGAGTGATGGTCAGGTGTCCACAAACCTTTGGCCATATAGTGTATGATAGGTTCGTGTTAATGCACTTGTTCTAATATGTTACTGTTTCTATAGTAACAGCTCATTAACAGGGATTTGTATGGGGGATGTGCCACATATTCTAAGACTTTTTAAAAATGCATTGTTTAACATAGAAAAACATATAATCATTGATCTGGTGACATTTTTTCTTAGGATACAGGGTGAACAATATAGAAATGGGTCTTGTGTATCAGTGCATTATAACAGTCATGGTGCTTTGTAAAGTTTTCCAGAATGAGAAAGTCTTCATGACAGATGAGTTTATGCTTTCTGGTATCTTGTTTGCATAGCATATTTGAGAAATAGTTAGTGAATGGTAATTGGCAATGGCTACATTCAAAAAAAACAAAAACAAAACAGCACTAGGAATACTTGATGCAGATGATTTTCTTTTTATAAAATTCTGCAAATGCACAGGCAATCTAAACATGCAACATTTTGCTTGAGAGTTAAGAGAAGTCTCTTTTTCTGACCACCTATATTTCCCCTTTTGGAATTAAGGGCAACAAAAAAGAGATAATTCCTGACAATTATTTATAATCTATTTAAGCTCTTTTCTCATACACCTATCTATGTTTTGGCTCCACCAGTATAGCATCTCTCCATTTATTGCTGATGTAGCATCACATCCATCACAATTGAATCTTTCTAATGTGCGGATATTCACGTGTCAGCACACAACTGGCAGTTTCCCAAAAGCTCCACAGCATGATGAGCTCCATTACTTGGTTGAGAGGGTGTTTAAAGCAATCCACCCATGTAACGATGATTCGTTGCGCTATGATAGCTTTGGGGAACTGTGCCTGGGATGATTATGGATGGTGTCCATCTATCTCTCTCTCTCTCCCTCTCTCTCTGTCTCACTCACCCATGAAAAAAGCACATGGAGAAGTGAGATAAAGTATAAGATAACCCTCTGATAAGGGAAGATTTAAGGTTCTCCCCAGACAGTGTACTGTATCTTCCAAATACTTGATATTTATTTTTCTTTTTACTTTCCACTAACCCACTCTTGTTCCCGAATTCAAATCCTGTATTACTTTTCTATACAATCTATGCATGCTGTGCCATTTTATGTAGACTAAAATAAAATAATGCTGTATATTAGCCAGAAAACTAATATTTTATTAGGATACATGGCATAAAACTGTTTGAGAGATCTTGTGTAAGCCCTTGTGTCATGGTGAAAGAGCCAATCTTATACTGCCCATTGCATTGTACTGCTTCACCATTAAACTGAACGCATCACACCATATTTAAAACTCACATCAGGTCAAGTGGGCTATATTCAGGCATACTGAAAGATTCATTGCTCAAGAAAATGTGAGTTGCAGAAGAATGATGACACTGGTGCACACATGACTATATGTTTTTTCACATTTGATTATGTGAGTAAAACACATGCCTTACATGTAAAAAAAAAAAAAAATAGCATTTTTTTTTACAGAAATGAATCATGTGCGAGAATCACGTGGAAATCAAGCAAATAAAAGCACATGCGAAAAATAACACATGAAGTTTACATTTATGGCATTTGGCAGACACCCTTATCCAGAGCAACTTACATTTATCTCATTTACACAAGTAAGCAGTTGAGGGTTAAGGATCTTGCTCAAGGACCCAGCAGTAGCAGTGCTTAGATTTGAACTTATAACCTTCTGATCAGTAGTCTAACATCTTCACCACTGAGCTACCACTGCCCTGAAGCTTAAGTAAGCTTGTCCAGAGAATCCAAGCACTACAAGTGAAGCGTGAAGAGTGTAAAAGCCACATGCATAAAAGTCGCATATGAATTCAGGTGTCTTTTCTGTAAATGTGTAAATTTGGGGTTATCAATATCACCTTAATCACATATACTAAACACATCCTTGTGTTTTAATGTAAGTTGCTTTGGGCCAAATTTACTATATAGTATTATAATTTAATACATAAATTATATGAACATGTAGTAAAACTGCTATCATATAAAGGAATGGTTAACTTCTATTTTAATTGTACATTGTCAGGTCAACCCAGGTCACGAACTCCAACTCCCAACAGTCACGGCGGCCTAGAAACATGGCTGCACTGGACTCCACTTCCCAGAATGCAGATACACTTCCTCACAGTCGCCAGACTTCTAACAACACAGATCTGTTCCTAATTCACACGCAATCACAGCCACACTATATATAGAAACACTTTATCAGTTGCACTTTGCGATGTATATTGCTCAGGTTACCTTGTGTTTCGAGGTGCCTTGTGTTTCTCTCTCTGCTTCCTGTGTTTATTACCTGACCTAGTTTGTCCTGTTTGCCAGTCACCCGAGCTTTGCCTGTTTCTGACCACGTTTTTGCCCAGTGTTTTTGGATAGTTTGCCTGTGTATCATTAAACTGCTCAACCTGCATTTGCATCTGTCTCAGCCTTCATTTGGTGACATACATGAGTTTTCTTTTTCCTTCTTCTGTCCTAGCTAGTTATCGAACAAGTTTCTCACTTACTGACCACACAGTACCCCTATTTTTAGACAATTCACTCGAAGCTGAAATAAACCCACACCGCTGCATGACAGATCTGATAGTGTATGTTGAGCACATGACAGTTTCTATAATTGTATTTCTTTCTGATGTGCATAATCATATGAATGTTTTGACAAACAATATACTTCACAGTTTTGTCTTTGTATTATATCTGTAATTGCTTTTGGGTTGGATTGACAATGCTTGCTATGAATGTGACATTTTGAGCAAAAATAATTAAATGATTAGCCATATTAAACGCAAAATATAAAAAAGGGGGAAGAAATTGGAAGTTCAAATAAAGTATCCATCAGTTCTAGGGTAAACCCATGACAGAATTAAAGGACAGGGTTCAATTCTGTATATACTGAATGGATGTGCTATGTAGGCAGAATGTGAATGTAGACAGTTATTAATATGCATGAAAATGTAATGAATTTCTCAGTGGCTGAATTTCAAACCTTTTTTTGTCCTATTCCAAAGAAGACTTCAAATATCCATAGAGCCTTCGTGCAATCCATATTCTAGGATTGTGCATATAGCTAGCAGCCTTAAATTTTACTTTGTAGCAGCAATGTCATAGTTATACATACTCATTAAAAAAAAAAACAAGAAACGAAAGAAAGAAATACATTTTCTAGTATACAGTTATTGTCTAGCCAAACTGATTTGAATGTATATTAAATATGACTTGCTGTAGTCTATTCAGTTCCAACCTCCAAAGAGCAGATTTAATCAGTTTGATTACACTTTTCTACATTTTGCAAGAGGGTCTTTCTGATGCATTTCAGAGATGGGAATGAAAGCAAACCATCATGTTCACTGTGTTAACAGTGTAACCTATTGGCCAAACAGCAAATTAGACAAGTATAAGATCAACAACTTAAATCAACTGTTGAATAAAATGTTGGCAACATCTTGAAATATTCATACAGCATCTCACAGCTTGCAGTGATTTATTTTACATTATTAAAGTATAACAGTCTTTTAAGTTTGTTTTAAAATTTAGGCTAGATGACCTGCAGACATTTAATTTATAAGACATTCTAAGAAGAAGAATTGGAGTAGTCAGAAAACTGAGTAGTGGCTGCAGGAAATATAATGAAAAACTTTTACTTAGATGAAGATGATTGTGTATTAATAAAAAAGAAAAAAAAACATGAATTGTAAAGCTGAGTTGCCATTAGGTTACTTAAAGTAACAAAATCTACAGTATGGTACTGTTAATACTAAATAAATACAGTTTTTTACAGTTAACTAGCATATTTAAATACATCACATAGCTGTTTTTGTTTGTTTTTCCATATTTTTACAGTTTTCAAATTACAATATTTAGTAGTTTATATATATACTGCTCAAAAAAATTAAAGGAACACTTTTTAATCAGAGTATAGCATCAAGTCAATTAAACTCCTGGGATATTGATCTGGTCAGTTAAGTAGCAGAGGGGGTTGTTAATCAGTTTCAGCTGCTTTGGTGTTAATGAAATAACAACAGGTGCACTAGATGGGCAACAATGAGACGACCCCCAAAACAGGAATGGTTGTACAGGTGGAGGCCACTGACATTTTTTTCCCTACTCATCTTTTCTGACTGTTTTTCACTACTTTTGCATTTGGCTAGGGTCAGTGTCACTACTGGTAGCATGAGGCGATACCTGGACCCTACAGAGGTTGCACAGGCAGTCCAACTCCTCCAGGATGGCACATCAATACGTGCCATTGCCAGAAGGTTTGCTGTGTCTCCCAGCACAGTCTCAAGAGCATGGAGGAGACTCCAGGAGACAGGCAGTTACTCTAGGAGAGCTGGACAGGGCCGTAGAAGGTCCTTAACCCATCAGCAGGACCGGTATCTGCTCCTTTGCGCAAGGAGGAACAGGATGAGCACTTCCAGAGCCCTACAAAATGACCTCCAGCAGGCCACTGGTGTGAATGTCTCTGACCAGACAATCAGAAACAGACTTCATGAGGGTGGCCTGAGGGCCCGACGTCCTCTAGTGGGCCCTGTGCTCACTGCCCGGCACCGTGGAGCTCGATTGGCATTTGCCATTGAACACCAGACTTGGCAGGTCCGCCACTGGCGCCCTGCGCTTTTCACAGATGAGAGCAGGTTCACCCTGAGCACATGTGACAGACGTGAAAGGGTCTGGAGAAGCCATGGAGAACGTTATGCTGCCTGTAACATCGTTCAGCATGACCGGTTTGGTGGTGGGTCAGTGATGGTCTGGGGAGGCATATCCATGGAGGGACGCACAGACCTCTACAGGCTAGACAATGGCACCCTGACT